GGAAAGCAAAGTCTCGTCATGCCAGACAGACCCGCAGGTCGACGCAGGTAACAAACGAACAGCTGACAGAATTTCAGATTTGATTTGATTGAGAGGTGACAGTTTGTCAGGTATGAAGCTGTATGGGCTGTATGTAATCCTGCAGGGTGTGACTCTGACAGACCTGAAAGAGGCTCAGAAGACCATCAGTCTGTCTCTTCAGGACAGACAGACAGAGGATGGAGACACTCTGGATGAAAGGTCCTGTCTGAGGAAAAGCTCGACGGATGACAGGAGAGTTAGAATTGGCCTGACAGAGTCGGAGGAATCATCCGAGATCAGTCCAAAGTGGAGCAAAATGGACGAGGTTAGGAAGACACATTTATCCAGAGATCAGATAATGCGGATGTTTCATCACAATGGAATATTTTGAATAACACCTGAAAATGTCTCTTTTCTGTATCTACAGCAGGGAAACATTGAACACAAGTTAGAAACCCTCACTGAGTGTCCGGTACAAAATCTGTCATTTTCTTCAACTGCTGGATCCTGTGGCCTTCTTTTCTGCAACAACACCTCACAAGGTCAGAGTGACATGAACACCTTTGTGTGTGTGTGTGTGTGTGTGTGTGTGTGTGTGTGTGTGTGTGTGTGTGTGTGTGTGTGTGTCTGATTGGATGTTATTTTTTCAACTTCGTCTTCAATTCCTCATGTTTCAGGTCAATCTGACCCCACTGCATTACAGTCATATTGTCCTCTCTTCTTGACCCAATTACAGCTCCATATGTGGAGAAATATAGACGTATTGAACCCTTCGCTTTGCCATTAAAGGGTTTACACACAACTTTATGATAATAGAGAAATTACAGTCAAGCAATTTATAACACCGAATAGGGTAACTAGCTAATTTGTGGTGGGAGTGCGAGTGCACCGAGTATGAATTTTGTGCTATTAGAAAAAAGTTGTGAATAGATAAACTAACCTGAAATATTCCCTTTTTATGATGCAGTCGGGGAAAGATGGCGGAGAGATGAAAATGAGAACCCTGTTGAAGGTACGGCTTGTTCCACCTTTGCTACAAAGCAGCAACAGAGGCGACGCTGCTGTGATGTCGAAGGTTCACACTTTAATACTTCACAGGTATGTGGAAAACATCTACAATCATAACGGGGGAAAAAAATGATCAGACTTTTTCCTGTTGTTTCATTTGTTGCCACTAGATGGAGCCAAAAGATATTCATTTTGTGGTTTGTCATACCTTGTTGTTCCATGTATTTACAGTTCATTTGATGAAAAGCGCTGACAAATGATTCAAATGAGTTCCCTTGAGAGTAATTGTAAACATTAAAGCGTGTAAAGGCCATACTTTGGTTTTTGGGGGGAAAAAAAGGTAAAAAAAGGTAAAAATGATGTTTATGAAAAATGCATCTAGATTTGAAGTATTTTACGAGTCAGACTCTTATGCCACCATCATTTAACTGTTCAATCGTCGTCATTCGTCAATTAGCGTCATTATTTCATATTCACAGCCTGCTTCCCCCCTCGCCTAAAGCCTGAGTTATGCTTCAAAGGCAGCTGAGCTCAGATCTCTGATGCAATATTTTGAGCTATACGGCAATCGTGGATGTGAAACATGTGTTCAGGGATTCTTTTAAGTAGAAGTGCTGGTTAATGTCTCGCAGAAAGGCGCTCCAGCCCCCTCACCCTCAACAACCCACCCTTCTTTTCTCCCTCTAAGTCGCTTTGCTTCTTCACATCACATGGCAGAGGTGTCTCAGCATTCCATACCTTATTGGGCAAAAGTGAGGCGCTCTCCGCTCAGTCTTAGCCTTGGATTCGGAGGGATTGACTTTCTTTCCCTCTTCCACTGATACTGCTCTCCCTCCACCTGCTTGCTGCATGTGAAAAACTACGACCCTGATCTTCTGCCCTAATTCCTCCTCCCATGTGCAGCCTGGCAATTCACACAGAGGATATTCAATTTGTTTGTGTCTCCAAAAATAAGATAAAAATAGAGGACACGCAAGAACAGGAAGCAGAGGTGACGCAGGGATGATAAGGCAGCCAGGGGTGACTTTTACAAGATAATACAATACAGTATGAAAGGAAATTGGTTTCCCTGTGAGCCGACTCAAGGCCATCGGTTCAGCTGTCCCCCCGTGGTGAAATCTGACACAGAGATCTGTTAGTAACATGAGAGTCTCTCAGAGTTACAGAGAGGACTATATCGGTCTGTGATAATCATACCAAGCAGCCAGGTTTCATCAGACTCATGACAGGCGGCACATCATGGAGGCCGACCTCTGCGTGACTCCATGATGATCGGAGCAGATTTTCCACGTCGATTCTCAGCAATGGAAAGAAAGACAGGTGTAGAGAAGAGCAGTTAAGACATTTTGTTACTTTTGAGGTGAAACAGAGTGCACAAGACTTTCTTAACAGCTGTAATTTTTTTTTTTTTTTTTTACTGAGTGTCCTTTATCTAGAGCGGATCAGTATTTAAATTCTGCTCGTAAGGCATTCCTGCTTTACCAGATTTGCTGTCAAAATCAAATAAACTCACGAGTGTATTTTTATGTTTTCATGAAACGCATCCAAATAATACTCCATACAGAAAATCCTGAAACAATGGAAGGATAAGACAGGGGAAACCCCAGCTTGGATCAACTCTAAATAAAATGCGCCAACAGAGCCAGAGAAGTTCAACTTCAACAAGTCACACTCTGCAGATTGTCCCCAGAGAACATGTATTAAGTATATTTTGTAAACAAGATGGGCACTGTTACAGATTCCAGTTGATGTCAAACTGTAAGACAAAAGCCCTAACAGTAACAGACAACAAGAGTAGTTTGAATGTAAAATGAATGAAGTCAAAACTTTTATTTAATAGCTTAAGGGGCAGGTAAGGCACTTCAGAGTAAATTAACATGTGATTGTTTGGATGGTGCAGAGGGTATTCTAGTTGCACTAAAATGAATCTTTTATTAACAACCATCCTTCCCTTATTTCTGTTTCACCCTCTTTCATAACTGCTCCATCTTTCCTCTGTGTTTTTTGCTTAATTCTTCTCACTTCCTTCTCACATTTTTTTTTGGTATCTTTTCGCCCTGGGCATGAACGAGGGAGTTTAGGAACACTAGGGTGCTGCAAACCTCACTATAAAAGGAAGATGGCATGAGCCAGCTTGTGCCGACAATGGCAAAACAGTAAAAGTTGCAGAGTTGTTAAAAGGTTAATTTCAACAATTTGGGAATAATGCTTATTTTCTTGTTGAGTTAGATGACGCGATTTGCAATACTTAATCAGGTCTGCATTAATATTATGAAATTACCCCCAGTATTGGGTGACCATATTGTCCAACCTCCAAATCGGGACACTTTCAATTGACCACAAACCCACATGTATGGTCCTGCACTGCTGACACAAGGTGTCCTCCTTGAGCAGCCTGTTTAATCTAGTTGTCAACCGCGTTTGCCTCACTGAAGAAGGTTGCAACAGCGCTACTTCCAGCCGCTTCCCACCGTTTGTGTTTGCTTGTTTAATATGGCTTTGAATGTCGGCGTATGACTGCATATGACTGAAAATGGACACTTGCAGTGGTACAAAACACAGCTTATTATAATTGCCTGGTACTTCATGAAGTAAGCTGTAACTCTCCTGGAGCTCTTTGGGAAAAGCTGACTTCCTTTTTGGCATGACAGCAAGCCTACCTGCGGTAACGCGACAGGTCCTGTTAGCATGATGAGCTAGGCTAGCTAAGCAACAGTCAACTGAATCAGTTTTTAAAGTGCCTTGCGGTGCATTATTTGTGTTTTCCTATTTGTTAAAACAGCATTGGCAACAACACTGATTGACATATACACAAACAAATCAGTGTTGTAAGCATAGTGTATTGTTTTTGGTTGTTTAACACCGGGACAAGGACTGTTCAAAACCAGGACATATTAGGGTTTAATAGATATAGATATAGATAACCTGAAGCCTGAAGTTGACCCCTTTACACACGAATTAAAGACCCCGTTTTTGTGAACTTTCTGTGGTCACATTCCTCAGAGAAACAAACTTCATCCGACTTCCAGGTGAAGCTGCGTACTGCTTTTGACAGTCCGTGCTAGCTTTGCCAGTAAACGAACCTGCCATGGACGAATGAACAGCGAAAAGATTGATGAATCCAGATGATTAAACTTCCAACTGAATTGAGGCGACAATAACAGAAGCGGAAGGAAAACAATAAAAGACAAGTGGACGTTAGAGGACGTACAACTAACAAAAAATGTCAAGATTGCTACTTTACTTTACGGTAACCTTCAGGTGGAAAAAGAAAAAAAACTTGCCAGAGATTTATAGGTTATGTTCGATGCTATGCTTGGATTGGTACATAAAAAAAAAAACCCCGTGAGTGTTTTCATACAAATTAAAAAGGCAAACTATATGTCAATATATCAGAACATCTGGACCTAATCATTAGTTTCCCACTGTTTTATGATGTGCATGTGTGGAATCCATCTCAGCGCCCCCATTATGTTCCCCTCTTTTATAAGGCATTCACTTGATACAAAGATGTCAAAAAAACACAATTTCTTTTGACAAACTCCATTAGGTTGCATAATGAGCTGGCAGGCTAAAATGAGTTTCACCATCATTTTGTTCAGGGGAATAGTGGCACAAGTGCTCTGTGTTAGCACTCGCACTAACAGCACTCCTCTCCGTCACACTGCAGGGTGCACACAGTTACTTGACACGTCTCGGTTGATGATGGCTCCTCAGGTAATACCGCGTGTTGACCTTTCACGACACAAACCGCTGCAGCTCTTCCCCTCCGCTCTGGCTTTGTGCTCCACCTCCCCTTATCCCCCGTCCACATCAGTGGACAATTTTAGCCCTCGGTGCCGAGTGCTGCCATAGCAGAGCCTCTGGCAGGTTGCCAGAGCTGAAGACAGGAGGGAGAAGAGAGCGTGTGAGGGGGAGGGGGAGGGGGGGGGGACTGTGAGGGCGACCAAGCAGTGAGAGGAGAGGGAGAGAGATGGAGAGAGAGAGAGAGGGAGAGAGTGTATAACTTTGGGAAACATTGGAAGAGGCAGCATCGGGAACAAACTTTTCTCTCTTGGCTGCTTGCTTTTGGACTTTTCACATTTCATCAGAGACTTGAGTGTTGACAGAGCGGAAAAACAAGATGATCATGTGTTTGCTTTTAGTTTCACAATCTTTTCTCTGTTTTTGTGATCAACAGAACTAGTTTTTGCTTAGTCTTCTTTGCTGATTATTGCTCCTCTGTCTGAGCTTTGAAGAAAATCCTTCCAAACTTTGCTGCAGCTCTTTCAGGGGTGTGAAGCTGGACTGAAGAGCACACACATACACACTCTTTAACACACACCTGTTGTCGCTAAGGATTCCCTGGGAGTGCTGTCATGGGCTTCTGCGTCACTCTTGCTTGAGGGAATCTGTGCGTCGGTGCAGCTGTTATCTGGCCGTGGCCTCTTGTGAATGTTACAGTAGAAGTTGGCCAGCCAGGCGAGGGGTAAGATGTCAACGTACTACCCGCGCACCAAGGACCTGACTCGCACCAGGAAGTCACTGACAGAGTCACCGCCGTCCTCTCCGTCCCCCACAGACAAAAACTACAGAGTAAGATCGGGATGTTTTCTTATTCAGATTTTACAATTCCAAATCTTTATCTCACTTTGTATGAATCATTTAAAAATGCTGTTTAAATCATCGATTCGCATAGAATATATGTTTGATCAAGTTAACAGTAATTGACTCTGTACTCTGTTCATTTAAGTTTAAGATAACACCTTTTTCCCTAGAATAAAAGTGATCCATAAAGCAGATAACATTTTCTGGATTGAGACTGTTACTGCTATTAATTTACACATTGATTCCATTGAATGCAGATGTATCTGTGGCTATTTAATTATTATTATTCTTTTTTACATTTTTCAATTTTCAAGCACAAAAACAAAATATTGTTTCATTTCAGCCTCTTAAGCTTTAGAAACCGCCCCTAATATTTGTCGCTTAGTTTCAGAAATTAAATATGTTTACAGTTTATGATAAAAAAAAAACATCAAATAAAAGTAAAACTACACAATGCATTCTATCTCATGACATTATTCGACATAGTTATGAACTGAGAAAATCCAGGCCGATGAATGTATACCTGAAATGATGTGTAAGCTGCAGCCTAACAAAGCATTTTTGTATTTGGACATGTTTAGATTTCTGTTTTACAAGCAGAATTTCAAACATTTGATTAGCAACAATTACTTAACAGTTATATTAATGATATGCATTTTCTTAACTAGTCAACCTCTCCTGATTTACTCATTTAGTTTATCAAAGTGATCAAATAATCTGTGATCTATGTATCTCATCTTATTTGTGACTTATTTGAAGCCCTGAGAGTCTGACTCAAGTTCCTGGAAAAAGATTTTTTTTGGATTGAAAACATTCCTTCTGTAATTTCCTGTCATGTTTGTTTTTCTGTCTTAAGTGTTTTATTCTCATGGGCGTTGTTTGACTGTTTTGTTTATGTCCCACTGAGCTGACAGATACATTTAAAGGGACAGAAAAGAAATGTAGTCATTTTGCTGCTCACATTTTCTCATGTGATGTCATGCTGTCCTTCAGACAGTGAATGATACCAGTGGATGCTGTCATGTTTCTGTTATTTTCTTACTGACGCCTTAGTGCTCTGTATCCATGGTGAAACTCAGGAATTCATTTTCCATGATTTCAGCCCAAATCAGATTGGGTTTGGTTTTTTTTGCATGGGAGAGAAGATATGATGCAGAGGGGGCGTGGACTCAGATTGAGGGAGTATTTTTAGACTCACCACAATGTTTTGATGAGAGCAAACTTGGTCCTCTTTAGTGAAACACAATCTGTGTTACAGCTGTGAACCACAGGAGGAAGTATAAACAGGAACCAATCTGCATAATTGGACGACACTCATCTTTTGGCAGATTTTAAAAGTGATGACGCTTCAACCAAGTCTATTCACTCAAGAACTGTAAAATTGAGGTTCTTGAACTCTACTTCCATTGGATGCTACTTTATACTTCTACATCGCCACCTTTTACTTTGAAATGATTTTACCAGGAAAGGAAATGTGTGTAATATTGACAGCTAAAGATGTGTTACCTTTAACGCAAACAATGTATAAGCAAATGAAACACACACACTGTGTTACATGTGCAAAGTGTGTTCACTTTAACGTCTCAGATGGTTTGATTTAGACTGTTTAAGTCCTAAATGTAATCATAAAAAGCAAAGATTAGAGAGAAATAATGAAAAAAAGGTATTTACCAAGGAGGTTTAATTCAGGTTTTTCTTCTTTTTGTGCCCTAATACTCATCTAACTACCATTCACATTTTGCTTGTGATTGGCAACCATGGACTACACCATCACTTCTACTCTGACTAGCCACAGCTGTAAAATGTATACATCTTAATTGAACTTAAATTGGATTTTATTTTTACCATTGTGGTATTAACACCTTTATTTTACTTAAGCAAAGTAAAGCAAGCAAGTTTTTTCACCTTTACTTAAGCAAACAATCTCATTACTTCTTCCAAAGTGAGGCATGTTAAGTCTGTGCTCTTTAAAAAGAAGAAGCTGCTCACAGTGGCAGGTCAGCCTCAGACTTACAGTTAAGGGTTAACAGCAAAGGGAGGAGGGCTAAAGTGAGAGAAGGTGAGTGAATGTGGAAGAAACGTCTTTTATGGTCGTGATCCTTGTGTCAGTCCCAGTGGTTGGAGTGAAGTGTGTGTGTGTGTGTGTGTGTGTGAGAGGGAGAGAACGTTTCTGTGTTTGTGTATGTGGCTCAGATTTTCCTACTGCATAATCCAGTCAGCTCTAAAGCAGTGATGCTTTGACAGGAAGGGCAGGGAAGACACTCAAGAGATGAGAGAATGTGTTAAAAGTCTCTTAAGGATGATTTCAGCTGCAGCTCTTTCATTCTACTCTTAACATTATCATGCAAGGATGCTGTATCTCTGAACTCATGCAACCCCCCCACCATCATGAAACCTAGAAGCCGCTGTGCTTACAGAGCGCCCATGGTTCAAGCCTGCACCCGTTTGGAGGCTGTTTCCATCAGTCTGACACCCTGTTGTTTTTTCTCCCCCTCCAGTTGATATTCTCCTCCTGCGTCGGCTCTGCCTCACATACTTTGCTGAGCCTCAAAGGCCACACTGACTCCTCTGTTTCTCCTAACAAGGGAATCACTCTGGTGCGGCTGCTATCAGACGTAGAATTTCAACTATGGTTCAGTTTCTGGCTTTGGCTGGATTTGAATTAACATGACGCAGACATACATTTGAGCGCATGTGTGACAGTTTGCATCCCTTCTTTTAGTAAGCTCACTGTGGATTTCTCGGGGAGTATATGTTTTAATAAACGTATATCACCGATTTGCTAATCCTGTAGTGTGAAATGGGTTTGGGAACTTTTAAACTTGAAAGAGTTTAGTGAGAGACGATTGAGTAACAGTTCCTCAAAAAAGCAGACTCTGTGATGATTCCTTCATGGAAAACTAGGCAGCCAATCAGCCCGGCTGATTAATGCATTTCTACCAAATCTTGCACAGGAATCTCTTCTGTATTGCCGAGAGGTTGGAGTAAGACAACTCCTCTTACCTCCATCCTTGGCCCTTTTTCTATCGAGGTCATGGAGGTCTGTTTTTTCCTGGATAGCTCTGCTAAAGCACATGACCACATAAGGACAAGCAGCGCTGGCTCAGTTATGTAAACACTTGCTCCTTTGACGCTGCATGAAATATTTCCCCCCAACTAGTCAAATAAGAGAGCACGAATAACTGTGAGCTCTTTTCCTTTTGACATCAATTGTCCTCGTGTAAAGCACATTACGCACCTACATCTGCTTCTTGTCTCCAACATCTTGGACAACCACACAAGATGTTTATTGCAAAGCTGTTTCCAAAAAAGGTGTTTAAAGCCCCGCTCCTCATGGCAGAAAGCAGCTCTTAGTATTGAAATTTATGAGAACAGTTTGTGAGACTGCATCAGATACTGCGAAGACATCATGGACCATTCTTTCCTCATATTACCATCATCTCTGTTTCTCTGTTCTGGTCTGTTCCTGATAGAAAATAGACATTTTCCTCCTTCAATCCATTGATTCCAAAACCTAGAAAAGAGTTATGGTGGAAACTCTCTTTTACCTGTGCTTTTACAAAGGCCTAATAAAACGAATTAATTTTTCTAATAAGACATTTCTATTTACCAAGTATGAATGTCGTCTGAAAGTTTTAATTGTTGTAAATCCTGGCTTAGTAGCCGAAGACATGCTAACATTAGCCTATCTTGTTTCCAGCGAAACAAGATAACCAGCTAAGCTAACATATTCTGTAGCTCAGCTAGCATCCAGTCCCTTTGACTCCGTTCATCTGGAAAAAAGTGCGGGGAAAACTAAGATTTCATATTAGAAACTGCTTGTTTTGTGATTTAAAGGTTTATTTATCGTGATTTCACTTAAAAAAAAAAAATCTGGCTCAAAAACATGTGATTTGGGGGGGAATGGCTGAGTTTTTGCTATAGCTTTGGACAAACAGTTATAACCTACAAGAAATCAGTTCTTTTTTTCCTTATCTGGCTAAAGTCGTTGCTGGTGGTAGCCATAATCTGTTATTACAATACAAGGATGCGTTTCTGGAGGAGCAGTTACAAGTGCACTGCAAAAACTCAAATCTAAGCAAGTGTATTTTTTTAACTTAAAGAAATATATAGTACACTTCTTTTAAAACACATTTGACTGACCTGCAGATAAAAAAACTTTTAAAGGAATACATTTGGTCTACATTTTTTAGGTTAAAAAAATCCACCAATGTGGGACAAGATACCTTCACTTGTTGAGTGTCTTGAATTAAGATGTACTAATTAATTTAGATGATTCATCTCATTTCAAGACACTCAACAAATACATTTTTCTTGCCCCATTGGCAGATTTAAAAGAAATCGTATTCCTATAAAAAGAAGCCTTATTATTTTTACTTTTCATATCTTGAGATAAGACGTTTATATGGACTTGGCAGATAAGTGTGGGTTGTAATTAGCGTAAACAGGGCTGTGTTTAAGATTGTTCTGATAATGGTGAACAGGGAGGATCTGTACTGGAGGACACTTTTATGTGTCATGCTCATATGCGCATCATTTATCAACCAGCAATAGTGAGTTATTTTTCTTTGCAGAAACAGGTCTTGCAAAAGATCTTCATCAATACCTTTAGAATCAGAGAACCTTTTAAAACAACTTATTCAGTGTATGACAAATTTCCCCAAGTGGACAAGAAAGTGTATTGTGTCATGTGATTTGTTTTAGCATATCAAGGTAGTGGACGTACACTTTTATACTACAAGTTCTGTGCCAATCATTTAATCACATCTATGAGTTAGTGGGATTTCTAAAAACACAGCCGCTTGAAATACAAAAATAATCTCCTCCGATTTTAGCACAGACTCCTTTGTGAAATGGAAAACAAATTCTGATCACAACAGGCAACTTGGCAGCCATGTATACTGGGCTAGTCATTGCAAAAAAAAAAAAAAAAACCTGCCAGGACAGTCTGCTATCAGTCTGTTGTCTGAGGTCAGACGTCAACCAGCCACACAGGAGATACTTAGCTTCTGATGTCATGATGTCATCTTTATGCTGCAGGCTTTTGCGTGGCTGCCGCCTGTTCTAAGAGATTAACCGGGCTCACATGGGAGGTTTGACCTGTGTGAACCCTGTCGCTGCAGTGTTGGGGTGAATTATATCTCAGTTCTTCATGTAGTTCTTCCCTCTGGGACTTCAGGTCTCTGAACACGCTGTGATAATTCACTTGGAAGTTTTGTTTTTGTTCTCTGTAGTCTCAAAATGGAAAATATTTCACTGCCAAGCCTCTGTTAGGTCTTATCAAGCAAATAAATCTTGATCCAACCGTCACAGAACATTTTTTTCCCACTGTGTTGTTCCCATGCTGTGGTGCAGAATGAGCAAACTAACAAGGTTTTTGTCTTTGTTTTTTTTTTCAGCATGAAAGATTGTCAAGGTAAGGATATAGCATTGTTTTCATTCTGCTGTGATACATACCTGTATTTCCTGACAAAAAAAAAAACTGCTGCCCTTCATACAGCAGCATTGTGTGCTGAATGTGTTGCTCTTAGGTATGACTCCAGTGGTGAGAGTGCAACAGACAAACCACTGGGCCGCACCAGCTCTTACTCACGGAGAGAGACTAGGCTGGGTGCTTTGAACAGACAGGAGCAAGACGCCACCACCAAAGACTATAAGAAGGTAGTAACTCCTACCTGACTCTTAAACAAGCACAATACCTCTGGAAGGATTCATGTGATGGAGAAAACTTGGGTTCATGCCACAGTGTGCCTGTTGGCTAACCAACCAGATCTTTCTATTTGTAACTGTTCAGTAAGGGCAAGCGCCTGGATATTTGAAATGACTATACATTATTTAAAGGCTTAATATGCGACATTCTGAATATTAATACAGCAAAATCCAATATACCCTATGTAAATATATTTTGGAGTAATGACTTCCTAAAAAGAGAGTAAAGTCGAACTCCCTCTGGATTTGTTGTTCTCAACTCTGTGTTCATGGACCGGATGGCGCTACCCTTTAATCATTGTATGTTTTTGATCAGAGACTCCATCATGTTAAATGAATGGATTCCCCCCCCGAGTGAACCCCTTCAATCTCCAATATTTGTTTTAATTTTCAGATGTATGCAGAAGCTTTGCATGAGAATGAGAGGCTCAAATCCAGGTTGCAGGACAGTAAACAAGAACTTGTCAAGATACGCTCCCAGCTGGAGAAAGTTACCCAGGTACAGAGCAAAAAAAAAAAAAAAAGAATGTGAATTCAGTCATATTTTTACAATTAGCACCTTTTTCATTGAGGTGCCAACGGGAGGAGTTGGCTGATTTCTTAATGAAACCATGTTCATAGTTCAAGTTTTATTTTTGCGATATTTTCTGCCAATACTTTGTAATAACATCCTCATTCTAACTCCTAGAGGCAAGACAGAATGTCAGAGAGATCTTCAGCACTTGTTTCGGAGAAAAGGGTAAGTGTCATGGCAACCTTTTGGCATTTTGGTCTTTACTTTGTTCATGTTATACTGCGCTATCATAATGGATAAACACCCATTTCTATCTTGGGCTTTCTTGGTTGTTTTTTTTTTTGTTCGCAATGGGTTTCCAAAGGACCATTGATGTATTTATTTTAGTGTTTTATCTTCATTTACAGGAAAAACAAGCTCTTGAGAAAAGAGTGTCAAACATGGAGGATGACTTAAAGGTCAGTGAATGCAAAATAAACTGTGCTAACACACCTTGGCAAGTTACATGAAGTTTATTCAGCAATGTTTTTCCAGACAACATAAAAACACTAACAGTTTGTGAAGATATACACCTTCCAGCCAGGCCCATCTCACTCGTGCTAAATCAAGCAGACTTAAAGTGTTTTCACAGAGCAAACACACTCACACACACACACACACACACACACACACACACACACACACACACACACACACACACACACACACACACACACACACACACACACACATGTAGCCTAGTCCAGGGCTTTTGGTTAGCCAGGTGGATTTGGAGTCAAGGAGAGGGAAGGTTAATGCTTCAGGCTCATTACCCACACTGTTCTGCTGGGCCACTTCCTGCCAGGCTAAGGAGGAGCCTGTGCTGCTGCTCCTCTGCTCCACTTATCCCACTGTTGGGGTGAACATTGTGACCTAGTTCCAGTTGAATACCGGACCCCGTCCAAGAGCAAAAGACCTGCTTTTGTGAGACATTCCTGCACTGTGTGTTTTCTGCCTCACAGAGAAACACGGGGCAGAGCAGCAAAGAGACGTCAGGCCTGAGTAAACATGAACTGTACTTTGTTTTGAGAAAGCAGTCACACATTAACAAGATTATAATTTGATTGTTAGAGGGAATTACAGCAACATTGTTATAGTGTAATCCTCTCCAGAAATAAAATCATGGCTCCGGTCTGAGAAAGCACAATATGCAGCCAATGATGACATCTTTAAAAATAGGACACATGAAGAAGTGTGGTGTGCCAGAAACAGATGTTTGTTGTTTGTTGTCGTGGTTCCCTCAGCAGGACGCCCCAATGCGGTTCCGCTGTGGGTACCAGCCCTGAGAGCAGGCTGTCTCAGGGGGAGGGGGGATGGTGAGTGCTCGCAAAGAAGTTTAGGAGTGATTGACACCTGCCTGTCACCCCACTATATTCTGTTCAGACAGAGATTCAGGCATGTGCACACGTGTGAACACATCACGGGATAAAGTTAAAAATAGGAGTTTTAGATTCAAGGCACTCACTCACAAAGTCACTTATTCACAATAGCTAAGTTACAGATGCTCCACAAGGGGGAGCTGCCAAGTCAATGTCAGATTGTTTGCTAGCACGCTATCTGCTAGAGAGGAAACTGGAAGACAATTTAAGACTCTCAGATGTGAAAATGTCAGTGTTGTCTTCTTTGGGTAAGCAGCTGTTGAGAGTGTAAAGTTATTCAGAACATGTACATTTGACATTCTGACGGTTACATAAGCATCAAAACTGCAGAAGCATTTACTCATAAAGTTGACATTATCACCCGGGCGCAAGGTAACAACAAACTGTATCTAAGAAATGGACTGTGACGTCATCTGCTGGTTTGTGAGTACTGTTTGAAGCCTGAAGTCCGGCATTTCCATGTAGGCATCTTGATATTTTTGGATCTAATAATAGAGAGTGGCGAGAGGAGCTAAGTTTTAGCATACAAGAGCTAATGCTTAAGCTAGCCTGGTTCGCGAATCGAAATTAGTTTTTCTACAGAGGCTGTGATATCATCAGGACACTAGTTAAGGCAGGCAAAAACAAATTACATGAAGAAACAAGCAGCCAAAGCTTACAGTGTTAGAAACATGTCAATCATGGTGGCTATGCCGTTAAGCACACCCACAGTGATTGATCTTTTTTTCTCTAAATAGGAAAATACTTTCATGCTCATACATCATGTTCATTTAAAGAACACTTAACCAAATACTTTTTTTCTACTATATTGACTGTATAAAACACGGATGTAGTCTAAGTGACATCACCATTTCAGAAGGAGAGATGTGAAGCCAAAAGATGGCAATCGCCTACTGGAAATGCTTTCTCCACCTAATTTATGATCAGTCAAGAAACAGGGAAAGAGTTGGAGCTGATGCGGGCCTTAAGCCTACTGGCAAACAGCTACAATTTCACCTGTCAGTCAATTCAGACACACCCCTAATAGTGCAAATTTATGAATATAGCTTAAGTTTAAAATCAGAATGAATGAGTGGTAACTTTATCATCGTACAGCTTTATTTTTTACCAATAAAGAAATGAGCTATAGAGTTTTTGCGCTTTCAGCTGGACACTTGAGTGACTGCTTTTTTTTTTTTTTTGCACTTCCTGATTGACTTCATTTCAACTCCGGAGGTTGCTGCTTGTTTGCAACCAGTGAAGACATCCCTCTGTCCTTTAAAAATAATGAAGGTTTAAGTCACTTAAACACCGGCTTTCCTTTTCTACGTCCATTCTTTTAAATACAGTCTATAAATAGTCAAAACCCTTCTGGCACTGTGCCTATATACTGCCTAGCTGACTGGTTTCCAATGTAGGTGTTTCACATCAAAGGCACTTTGTCTCCTGCTTTCTGCTTTGAAATATAATCGATTTACTAATGTGATATTACTTGCAGGGCGTTACATTTCTGACAGAGACGCTGAATTATTCTCGACAGCCTCTGAAACGTAATTAATAGCAAATGTGTTGAATTATCTGAAGGACTTGAGAGTGCGGTCGGATCTAATTTCATATCAGAGGGCTCAATATTAAGAAAGTCTAATAAAGGATACTGATCATTATGTATTCTAGCCTCATTCTGCTGTTCTCTTCCTTCTAGACAAGGGCACCTCTCCAGAAACTGATCAGATTTATTCTGTATGCATGAACTGTCAAATCCAGAACACAGCCCGGCTTTAGTCAATGTGTTTAGTGTTGTGAGAACCAGCTGGATGTACTCCTTAAATCACATCCATGGCCATATTCAAATCTGTAAAAGTGTGTTTGGTTAGCCTGAAACACTACAAAATGTGTGTGTGAGTGTGTGTTCTGTGGTTTACCCTCAGGAATGGCGTCAAACCACAGATGTTTCAATCCAACCACACGGAGGTTTACCTCAAAACGTTTGGCAAATAGGAGGGGGGAATTAATCTTTTCTTTTCCTTATTCCTAACCAGAGCTCTCTGCAAAGTCTGAAATAGTAGAGTGAATTTCTATGAATTTTATATACCCTCTTTTTTGCAACTCCATGCATAAAATAGCATTTCATCAGCCCACCACTTTCCATATACTCTCAAACTCAAAGAGAAAAAGCTTCTTTATTTTCTTTGTCTGTTGCAGCTTTTGCTATTTCTTCTCAAAATCTCCCTCTTGTATAAATACTGGTTTATATAAGTTCCTCTGATCTGTTATTGTTTCATCTGTCTGTGTGGCTGTGTGGGCACAAGCCTTGTATGAGTGGATATGTCTGAGTCTTTCTCTCTGCACATGGCCTGCCCCCCCACACTCCCCCTGCATGCTTTATGTCTGCCCCTCTCTGTATCTCTCTCCTCCTCTGTGCAGGCTTTCCCTGCTCTGGCTCAGGTCCAGAGCTTGCGGAGGGTGAATGAGTGTCTCCTGGCTGAGAATAGAGCCATGCTGCGCGTCCTCGCTCGCCTCTCTGAGACGGCGTCCATGCCGGAGACGGAGGACCTCTGATCCTCTGACATCATCTGTCCTCCTTCCACCCCCCCCTCCTCTCCCCCTCCTCAGCCACATAACTTCTACACTCCTCTCTCCTCCTGGTGCCTCTTCAGGCCCCTCGTCCTCTGCTGTGTTCCTCTCAGGCAGGTCCTGCACCTTCCCCATGCTCACGCAATGCATCTCTTTCTGCACCCTTTTAACCCAGTCCTCTTTATGGCCATCATGGGCCAACACAGCTGACCCCTTCCCCTTAAAAAAAAAAAAAAATCATCATATGCTTCTTTTAAAGTGCATTTTTATTTATCTTTTCCTTTCACAGGGCTGCACTTGACACAAACATTGCATTACATTTTTGGGGGGTTCTCATCTAATTTAAACATTCACATTAGAAGTCGGCATCATCTAAAACAAATGTGTTTTTAATGTTAATAGAGTTAGCCTAATGTTTCACATGGAAATAGCCATGCTAGTCAATTTCCCAGAGGAAATGAAATGTGTCGGCGCAATGGCCTCAAAATGAACAAGGTGTGTGCCACCGACTGAGATGCATATTACGTTTTGGTTTATGAACTTTTTAGAGAAGAAAAAGACAAATACAATACTTAAAGGCTCTTGTGTCTGTATGCTAAATATGAAGCTTTAGCCAGGAAACACTTCGCTTAGATTAGCATACATGAAGATAGAAACAGTATGTAAAATGTAAAAGTATGCCCGAAAGCACATGTCAAGCTAACTCGTAAATTTGTTAAATAAAAACGAAAACAATTTGGCAACCGCATGGTCGTGACATAGCTTCAGGAGGTCAATACATCTAGCCTAGTAATATGCCCAAAGTTCCAGCACACAACCTCTCATAAACCGTTTAAATCACTGTTGATTTCTCTTTTTTTTTGGCATGTTAAACATACTGTACATTGTGTTGATGAGTTCACCCCAGAGGCCCTGTTTAGAGAGATTTGTTAGCTTTAAACACAGATAAGTTAGCTTTCTACTCCTGTTTCTAGCTTCATGCTAAGCTATGCTAACAAGCTGATGTCATTTCACATTGTTCTTTTTTTTATTCTTTACTTTTGTATTTGAACTGCAGTTTACATTACAGAGCACCTGTACCTTGACAAATCTATATTTCGTAAAAAAAATAATGTGGTTAACTGCTAGTATGCCTTTTACTGATTTATGAGATTCTACCCAGAAGGGTTTTTTCACTGGGAACTGTGAGATATGCTAGTGGTTAACCTCCTGAAATCCACACTGTCTCCAACATTTAGCTTCTCTTTCTGCAAAAGAGTCCTTAAAACATGAAACATGAGTTGTATCAATAATCTCACCTAACTCCGATGAAGAGCTATAAAGCCGTACTCCCCAAAATGTTTTGCTATTCCTTTTATTACATTTAAAACCTGCATTAACATAATTATACATGAAATCAAGTTTAATTTTGGGCTACGTAATCCTAGGGAGTGACAGAGTAAAAGAAAACAGAGAAGGGTCTCCAAACCTGTGATTTTCCACAGGTTCTGAACACGTTGATCCTCATTTGCTCCTTTGCTCACTCACCAGTTTTGGGTGATATGTCGCAGCTAGCCTCGAGCTGAGGGTTATTGTTTGTCTCTAGTAGAGGGGAAATACTTTGGCAAAGAGGCTGGATATTTTTAGTCATTGCTCCTCATGAGAGACATGACCTAGATTTTAGAAATTGACCCTCTCTCTCAGTTTTCTCTCTTTCTGACATTTTTCTGTTTCACCTTCCATATAAAGGCCATATCGTCAAAGTCACTCCTCACTTGCATGAAGTACCGTGAAGCATGTCATCATTGCTTGGCCTCAAACTTTACAGAGGGACAAGTTTCAATGATTTTCTTGTGTAGTGACAGAACATATTTTATCATTTAGGTGGATATAGTCCTGGTGAATTGTGTCATCTTACCACCTGAAGCTAAAAACTTCACAGTATCCACAAACCATTTAACATATATCTCTGTGTGCATAACTGTGATGATGATATCATTTTCTAATTAAATTTCTTTCCCTCTGCTGTCCCAGATCTTAACAGAGCTCAAGTCAGACAACCAGAGGCTAAAGGATGAGAACGGGGCTCTCATCCGCGTCATCAGCAAACTGTCCAAATGAAAACATGTCTGAAGCTCCTGTTCTGTGTTTGTGGATACTCAATCCCTGATATGAACATTTTAAGTACCCGTGATGTGACTCCTGTCATGTGAGCTACAGTGACTGCCTGATTTAAATTCCTTTTGGGACTCGTAAACACCTAAGGAGAAGTGTTTAGATGTTTCAGGCAAATTTGAGTCACTGCGTTGACAGAGTTACAACAGTTTGAACTTAAATATGTTACATCGTAAGGTTCTTCACATGAACGAAACAGGGACCAATAATACTGTTTAAATGAGGCCCAGTTGACCAAATCCAGGGGGTTTGCATGAAGGTATTGTTTATAATATTATTATACATAATCATCACACTGAGACTTCACGTTTGCTGAGACATCATGCACTGCAGAAAATTATTTTAATAGTTTTTCCTAGTTGTGAAAAGGTGAGAAGCTTATTACGTCGGTCATTTCTTGTCATAGCACTTGCCGGTATGTCAATTTTTTGGCATGACAATAGATTCAAAGTCTTTCTAAAGTTAACCAATTCATTAATGTATTCTTAATATATGCCTGTGCAGGTCACTTAAAGGTCACATTTTATGCAAAATACACTTCACCATGTTTTCCTAACACTAATATGTGCCTCTATTTTCCTATAAACCCCCCATTACGAGAAAAGTCCATCCTCTCCGTCTTTGGCCGGCTTCACTTTTCAGAAAATTTGTTCTCAAACAGACTGTTTGGAAAATGTTTCTTCATGACATCACAAAGGGCAGTAACGCCCCCAGGTGGGTGACACTCCCAAAGCTAGGTGTTTGTTCTGCCCTCTGAGTCTGCCTTCTCATCCTCCATTTGCATTTAAAGCTACAGACACAGAAACACCGTGTTGTGAGCAGGGCTGAATTAGAGAGGTTTATAGTCATGCTAAAATACAGATTAGAGTGGATTTATAACGGGAAACTTCACAGACATGTTTAAGGGAGACTTATTTAAACTGGTTGAAAAGGAGGATAATACGTGACCTTTAAGGGCACCTGAGTAGCAACAAACATGGAAGCTGCTATGAGGTGTACTTTTCATCGCAATGTTTTGTTCCTGACTAGAGAAAAATCTTCAGCCTCTACCACACATTTTAAAGCCTTCAGCTGTTTTCACAAATTACATTTTTACTTCATTATAACCATAAAATATGCCTCAGGTTTGTTAGTGAGCTGTTCCCACTCACTCCCCTGAACATTTATTCAATTTGATGCAAAATTCTAAAATGTTTTTTTTATCCAAATCAATAGAAAAAACATCCATATTATTTTTAAGCTGCCCAAGTGAGAGAGCCCTGGGATAATTCTTATGTATTACATAAATGAAGCAATTTGCAAAACATTTCCAGCTGTTTTTTTCTATATTCCACTCAAGTCTTGATGACTTCTAAAATTGCCTTCTTTTTAAATAAATGTATGTTATATATGATGTCCTCTGTGTATTTGGTAGCTAAAGAGGACCACATATTAGCCCGAAAAGCCAGGGCCAAGGTTATGCACTTCAATCGTACACATAGTCAGTGCTGCTCTTAGGCATCACTAGAAGAATGTCATGTAATTTAGTGTTAGCTGGATTCTCTTTATTAATTGTTTGGGTAGCTTCCGCAGCCATTCTTCGGTCTCTTTAGATTTTTTTTATCAACTGACCAAGCTTCAAAAACGAAACGACGACAGAGGAGGCCATCTGTGAGTGTGTGTGTGGGTGTGTGTGTGGGAAAGGAAATACCTGTGTTATGTTGTATTAAAGAGATCTATTTATTTATTTATGCATTTCTTAGTTAAAAATCTTTATACTTAGATATATTTCCTTTCATGCATATTTGTTTTTGAACTGTTGTCAATCTTTCTTTTAGGTGACGAAAACACAAATGCCAAAATCATCCACAAATAGATCGCTGCTGACATCTTATCCTGTACAATATTGTGTGATCTTATTAAGCACAATCCAATGTTTTATGAAATACCCTGTTGCTGGCCCTTTACATTACAAATGGTGCAGATTACTTTGGTGTTAAGCTACTACAGCCACTCAATTAAATCCTAACTTCATTAAACCTATCAGCTTTCTGTTCAGATCCTTTTCAAGACCCCATGTAGCCTACATTAAATTCATTGTGCATTGTGTTGCATTTAATAGAAATCATTCGACAAAATAACTTGTCATGATATATCAGAAAATAAATCCATGGAGCCTTATGGAGGTTCTTTATGAAGCTAGAGGAGTGCCCTCAACTGTACTATAGTCCTCATTTCAATATGTTCCACTTTTCTACTTTTGTTTCTTGAACTTGGATGAAACCTTAAGATGGCTAATTTGCTCCATATTTTTTCCATTATATTTTTACTTCTCCTCCTGGTTCCTTTTTTGTGTGTGCATTACCATGGTGTCTTGAAAGCCTGTTTTTGGCAGGGCACATTTCTTTTTTAAATGCGTGACACAATGATCTAAGTAATTTAATTAATCAAACAATCTATCTAATCCACAAAGAATTAGACGGATAAATGTATCTCTAGAACAAAATGTGCTTTTTTCTGTATCTTATCTTATTGGATGCATTAGACAAAAAAAATAATTTGGCTGTAGATTTAATAAGTGATAAACGGTGTGATGGGAATGATTTTGGCATTTGTCTTTTCTTCACTTACAGGATGAAATGTTCCTATTGTTTTATGTGTTTCTTTGAAGATGTGATGCTTCTGGAGTCCAAACAGAGCAGCGTGCTGTAACATCAGTGTTATATTTGGTCACATTTACACTAAAGATAGAACACATTGTATGCTGCAGAAATCTTGAACTATGCAATATATTGTTTTGAACTGTGCTGATGATAGCTTAATACACATACAGCGGTTTACTCACTTTGCTTAATAAACTGTAAAGGAAAGATAATGTTTCTCTGCGTGGCATTAATGAATTATGAATCCAAAATGATTGGGAGCCAGCTGAGCTGAACACACTGCATATCAAACACAAACAAGTCATGGTAATTAAAAGGCCTTTATTTCCTATTTGTCTTTTTTTTACAGAACTGGTAACACATATGATAAATTTGTAATAAGTTATTTGGTTCCCTTGATAACTTTAGAAGGATCCCCAACGTTTGTCCACATAAGGGTCAAGAGGAGTTTGTGAGCAACGTTTGTGTCCAGTCAAGGGCTAAAGCATGCGATCCACAGTAGGCACAAGTACTGACATGAACACGCGCACCACAACACTAGACACGAAGAAACACAGCTAGAGGACACAACCTGACCGTCCTCCCACGCTTTTAAAAGATGATGAAGAAGAGAAAGAGGCGGGAGAAAAGAAAAGGAAAAAAGAGTCTTGAGAGTACAGTTGCATCAGGGATGAGGCATGGAGGACTAAGCGCTCAAGAGGGGAGTTTGGTACGGTCCTGCATGTTTGGCAGTATACAGTATGTCCATGTTGTAAACATGAAGGCCGGCTTTCTTTACGCTCAGCAGAAGCAGATTCCGTGGAGAAATCAGTGAGCCTGCTTCCTATCGACTCTGATGGAACATAGCTGGTTACATTTAAACAGGACACAGACGCAAACAGAAAGCAAATGTGACTCTTGCATTGATTCCAATACAGACCTACATTCTACATTAACAGCATACATCACAACAAAAAAATAAATAAAGGACAGAAAGTAGTGATTACACATGTGCACAAGAATACAAAGAAGAAATACAGCGAGTAATAGAGGAGACAAGACAACATGTTATTTTTTAAAGTGGTGGCTGAGAGGCTTCTCAACACATTTTGACAAGGTGGTAAAATGATCTAATGAACTTTTGGATGCGTTCCCTTTTTAAATCCCAGCGTTTGTTCAAAATAAGACAAAACAAAAAAGAAAGAACAGCGTGAACGGTGCTTATTGAACGGTCTGTGCACAGCTGAAACAGCAGTCAGTTTCAGATGCAGTTGTGCATAAGGTATTGTACATCTACACAGAGCAGAAAAAAACCCTTATCTAAAACTTAACTGAGATCATTTGAGTGTTACGGTCATATACACACACACACACATGTACATTTTAGGAATGAGTAATGGGTCCCAGACATGCAGACCTGTACTGTATATTCTATTTGTATATTTGACTGTTGTTGTTTTTTGCACTGTTTCTGCTAGAGGGCCTTCACTTATTTAGATATTTATCTGACACATCGCCTACAAGCACACACAGCTCCCACTCCCAGTTTCTGTCCCCCATTGAACTCAGGTGGTCAAGTGACTGTGGTGACCCAAGCAGAAAAAGCAAGAAGTAAAGAAATCGACTTGAATGTGCTATAAGTTTACCTGAAATCACAGTTGCCCCATCGGTCACTTGATGCGATCTGTTTGCCTCTGCATGAATTGTTATTTTGGCTTTGCCGATTCAAACATTGTTGACGAGTGATGGCAGCTGTGATCTAGTACTGGCAGTATTTCTGAAACACACTGAAATCTTATTTGTGAATTGTCCTCAGTGCATTATTTGGTCACAGTCAATAGCATTTACTGGACAGTGAATAACTATAATATTGCATTAGATAATGTGTCTTATAACACGACACATTGGCGATTGTTGCTAGAAGGGATCAATGGCAGTACTTCGTAAAAAAATCAGCAAATGAGGTCAACCTAAAGGGACAGGAAAAGGAATATTTTAGGAAATATTTGCCTTCTCACCTCTCAGAGTTTTACGAGAAGAAGAGCGAGGATTGATACACCTGTTCCAGCTTTGAAGTAAAAGGCTGTAGCTAGGTGACTGCTAGCTTAGCTAAGCTTAGAGCGGAGGCTGGAAACAGGGAGGAAAAGCTTATTCAGCTCTATACAAAGATAAAAAAGATACCTAACAGCACCTCAAACGCTCACTCTTTTACACATCTCATTTAGTTTGTCTGTACACTGTTAAACAACACTGGGTGATTTATCAGACTATTTCTTGACGCAGTGACAATGGGTTATTTTTATTCTCCAGGAGGTTATAAAAAGTCCAGAAAGCTTTAAAAATTCTGACAGATGGATTTAGTTTCTTTTGGACTGAGCTAGGCTAACTTTTAGCTTCTGTTCTCAGCTTTTTTGCCTTAGCTAGTCTAAGCTAGGCTAAACTTGCATTCTGCTAGCTCTGGCTTTATATTTACTGCGCGAACACAAGAGGTATCACTTTTTTAATCTCTTGGCAAAGAAGATAATAATTGAATTTCAACAATTACGTCTTTGATTTCACATCATGTGCTTGACATGATTTTCTTTTCTATGTAGGCTATTTCTGTTCATTAAAATCATAGCTCAGTGCATAGTTCTATGGAAGGGATTCAGGCCTAAAATTTGGTGCCACAATTGTAAATTCCTTTTTGTTTGTTTGTTTGTTTGTTTGTTTCAGTTCTTTTGGATTTCCATATTGTTTTGTCACTTAAGAAATATGCTTAAGAAGCTAACAAAAAACAATCAGCGTGAGCAGTAAATAACCAACAGTGTGTTATTGATTGTACATGTTTTTACGAGTACCTTCTGCAGCTAAACTGGAAATAGAGAAACTGTGAAGAGTGGAATAGTTTGGTTCTTAAATTGCACTCAGCCCAAAGAATAGTACACACTCTCATATACTATATATCTATATATGTATATATAAATTTAGCTGTATTATTGAGAACCTATTGTGATATTAGATCTATTATTTATACTATCAAAACAAGGCATATACAATACTAATCACAATACTGTAAAATCAGCTACCTCTATGAAACAAGGACATCAACAGCTCGGAAAGTAGAAAAAGACACACTCACTCTACTAAACTCACAACTTTTCTCAATGCTCACATATACAGTAAAATGGATTTCGCCCTCTTGATGAACAAAGACCTCTGAACGGAATGTAATTAAGAGAAACACTGGCCAAGGAAACCGAAGACATGTTGGATTTTTTTTTCTTCATCATAAATAAACTCTAGCTACTCAGCTGAGCTCTAAAGAGTTAGTGCTTGAGTTTTATGGCTTTAGTTTTATCTTATTCATTTATCTTGTATACACATACACTTATTGTATAATAAACACAGTAAAAGAGACACAGCCGTGAAGGGTTTCAGGTCATTTAAATAGAAGTGGAAATAAAATAAAAAAACTTCCAAGTAAAGAACGAGAGAAGAAGGGATTCCAAGTCATTTGTGTTCACTGGAATGGGAGGATTCATAATTTGGCCCCTGGAAATACATTTTCATACAAAGATATGGTCCAACAGACTTGATTCCGTATCAGAACTGGCACTAATATTGACTCCTACATCCACCTACAGATTGCTGAATTATTCAATCTACTTTAATTTTTCTGAATAAATCCATGCCAAATCTGTCACATAAAAGAAAATGTTCTCTAGACTTGGAGGCCCCTCCATCCATCCCAAGCGTTTAAAAATTCAACACATATCTTTTTAAAAAGTAATAAAATTCAGAAAAAACATAGGCCTTCAGGTAAGTGCTGTAACAAAAAAAAGTATGGCATAAAAATGGCATCAAAATAAGATTTTGGATCACAAGGAATTAGATAGCAAGCATGCGGCTACATTTTCATCCTACATGAACTCACACACAGTACTGGACGACACACTTGCTTAAGAATTTCAGGCGTGGAAAGGTTCTTATTAGCAGTAGTACTCTAATATTTGTATGACATTCTCTCCAATGACCCTCATGGAAAATAAATACACATTTGTTTCATTTAGAAAATATACAGTGCATCTTTTTTTTTTCCCTTCGTCGTGTTATTAAAATGACAAATGACACCCATTTACGTACACGAGATATTTTTGCTTCGTCTCTAAAACATGCTCTTATGTACAGTATTTTTGTATAAACATGCAGTATCAACGTGTATGAACTATGTATATAGGCAAAACTACACACCAATGGGTTGCTTGATTGCTTCCATGTTGCCATTTTCTTTAGTGCTGCTTCATTTAACAGAAGAACAAAACATCATGTGAGATGCGAAACATAAATCTAAACATGGTCTATGTTGGTTATACAAAAATAAAAAGTTACATTTTCCAACAGAGAAAGATACAAGAGCCAACATTCATCAAATTACCCCAAAGAATTGCGGTAATGTCTACATTGACTTTGCATTTTCTGGCACACAGTCAACGGGCATTACTGATTTGAATAATTACCTTGGCACTGACTCATGTCAGGATTTTAATTATGCTTTTAACAATTTATTCAGAGCTGATTCATTTTAAATTTGTCTCAAGCTCATCCTTAATTTTTCTGTAACAGAATATTGATTAAAAAGGACGCAGCATAGAAACCTGTCTCTTTTTCATCTGAGGATTCCATTTACACGAGGAGAACCATCTGGCATGTTACATGAGCCACAGAAAACTTCCATCTCACAACATTTGATCACTAAATAAAAAAAACACAGATCAGAGAACAGCGTCAAATTACCACAGAACAGAATAATTAATACCCAGTAGTGCAATTAAATTCAACAGTTTGGTAAGCTGTGTAATATATACACATGGATCAGTGCCTCCTTCCAGACCGTGTCCTTGCAATCAAGTGAGAAATGTAATATTCAAACAATCCAAACACATACATTAAAAGCAACGGCAAAAACAAAAAATGCTTACAAAATGTACTCCCTTGCTCTTTATTTTAACCAGCAGTTATTCTTAAAATAAATAATTAAAGCTCTGGTTTCTGAGGGTACTTAAACACAACATTTGGATTTAAAGTGCTTGAGGAATAAAAGTGTTTGGAGTAAAAAATAAAGAAAAAGGAGAAAAAAAAGCGAATGAGAAAGGAAGAAATGAAGAGAACAACACCGCTTAACTGGAAGGCGTCCCTGGTAGTTGAAAATTGCTTATTTTGTTACTTTGAAGGCTTGTCTCCTTTATGACTG